ATTTAATAACTTTATGCTTTACTTAAGCCCATCGGTTTATTTTACTATAATATATATTATAAGTTAATATATAAAAAGCATATTATATTTAAGTAAATTATGATTTTATTTTATTTATTGCATCAAATTATTACAATCCAAACTTTAATGGTTAAACTAAAAAGCTAAAGTAAATTTATAAAGAAGAAGCGGAACTGCTTCACAATACCGCAAGTGTATTAAGTGAGTAGGCTTTTTAATATAATGTATGTTTTTGTTCTGTACGGCACGGATGGTGCTTTTATTCTGTATGGCACATATGGCTCGGTACTGGTTCACCTGTAAGTCACTTTATATAAATATATGTTTGTGTTGACGCATTGTTCATCCACTCATAATTCACTTTGTATATATGCATGTTTATGTTCAGTCGCCTGTAAGTTTATTTAATCATTAATTTTATTAACTTTGATGAATATTAATTTTTTAATTTTATTGAAAATGCAGTTGTTGTTGAAAGTCTTATTTTTATAAAATCCATTGTACAAACATTTTTAAAACACTTACATTTTAAAAATAAAAATCAAACCTATATTATTATTTATATAATTATTTACTATAATTAAAACTTACTTAACTTTATATTAATAATATATATAATTATTTATTATAATTATTATTAAAACTTAACTTTATATTATTTAAAAAACAAAAGTAAAAATCTATTTTTTATAAACAATCAAATCATCCTTTAATTTAAAATCACTTTGCTAATAATAAAATATTTGATTATATAAGATTCTTACGAATTTAATTATTTTAGCATTTTAAATAGTTTCGGACATACATGGAAACATACATAAATTTAAATGTTCTCAAAACAACTAAAATGCTGTGGCCAAGTTGTCACAACTAGATATAACTTGCGTGGTCAGGAATAGAGTGCGATAGCACCCGCTTACCAAACCTGTAAATATATATATATATATATATATATAAATATATATATATATATATATATATATAAATATATATATATATATATATATAAATATATATATATATATATATATATATATATATATATATATATATACATATATATATATATATACATATATATATATATATATATATATATATATATATATATATATATATATATATATATATATATATATATATATATATATATATATATATATATATATATATATAAAGATATAGATATATATAAATATATAGAAAATATATATATAAATATTTTATATATATATATATATATATATATATATATATAAAATATTTATATATATATTTATATATATCATACTTAATACATACCACATTAATTCCATAATGTATATGTGCTAACGTAAGAAAAATAGTATAAACAACAAGCATTGTTTTGTCATTTATCAATTTTAAATATGCAGCAACCAGCATAGGAAACAACGGCCAGGCAAGAATGTTAAAGCGGTCACATTTTGTGGATGTCATTTGTGAAATAATCAGCCGACACTATTAATAAAAAAAATAAACAATTAAAAAATATTAGTAACTACATTAGCAAACTTAAGCCACATTTTAAGACACAACTGTGTTTCTATAATTACATTATAACTACCTTACATAACTGTGTTTTTATAATATATTTACTACCTTACATAACTAAGATCAAAACAAAATTTTAGAAATACTTTTTTATATCTATAAATCATTATAAATATTTAGCATTAAAAGCATAAAATTTAAGATAATAAGATAAAACAAACCTTTTTCCAAAATTAAAAAAAAAAAATTTAATGTTTTTTATTTATGTATATATATATATATACATATATATATATATATATATATATATATATATATATATATATATATATATATATATATAGAGTTAGTGGTAAACTGCGTGAATCTTAACCACAAGCTGAGACGTAATATTCAGCTATAGCTATATATATATATATATATATATATATATATATATATATATATATATATATATATATATATATATATATATATATATATATATATATTATATATATATACCTATACTATCACTTAGAGGGAAAGATTTTACAAAAAAATGAATACTTAAGGGGACATTAGCATCAACAGGGAAATTTGTACCCGTTAAATTTTTGTACCCATAAGCGTTGTTTTTTTATAATAAAAAAATGTTCCTAAAAACAACTTTTATAGAGCGAAAAGTATATACATCTACTATCAAATAAACTGACTCACAATAGAGTGCTGTCACATTGACTGAGAGTTTGGGTTGGGTCAGCATCAAGGTCAGGCTTAGGGTTACGGCAAGGTTAATTATTACTGTAATTAATCATTTTTCTAAATAGATAAAAAAAAATTAAAAAAAATAAATACAATATATAATAAATAAATAAAAATAACAAAAATAAATATAAAAAATATATTTTTATAATAAAATAATAAATTTAAATATGTATAAATAAAAATAGAAATGAAACAAAAATTTTAAAAACTATATAAATAGTAGAAATATGTCCCTGTAAATACACTAAGTGTGTGTGTGTGTGTGTGTGTGTATATATATATATATTATTATTTCTAAAACTTCTCAGCACAAAATGTTAAAATACTTTTAAAAATAAGACAACTTTTTTAATTTTGTTTAAAAATATTCTATTAATCAAGACATGTGTTGGCTATATATAGTCATCACCAGCTAAAATATATTTGTTAAAAACAGTATAAAATATAGTACATAATTGTATAAATAAACATAATAAAAGTCATAAAATTGTTAACAAACTTTCTCTATATACAAATGATTCAAAATCTACAGGAAGGTGATCTTTAGATGAAAAAAAGTTAGACACTTTTTCGAATTGAATACTTTTAAAAGTGTCCAACTATTTTTCATCTAAATATCACCTTCTTGTAGATTTTAAAACATTTGTCATTTACAAATTTATTTGTGCAGGATGTAAATCTTGTTATATTGACTAAACTTTTCACCACTTAAAAACACAAATGATTGAACACTACAGAAGGGATAGAAAGTCTCTTATTTGTAAGCATTTTCACTCATAAGAAAAATGGTTTAAAAATTATAATGATGAATGCTTTTTGATTTTTGATTGTGCCAATAACAAAATTAAATTAAAAGTAAAAGAAAGTATTCATATTGGATGGGAAAAACCCGATATGAATTAGCAAGTAAATCATGTTAAAATGACTCTTACAATTTAATTTAATTTACTGGTTTCTTTTGTTATATTTGACATTTGTTAAAACAATTTTCGATAATTCGTTTGTATATAGAGAAAATTTGTTAACAGTTTTATGGCTTTTATTATGTTTATTTTTTACAATTATGTACTATATTTTATATTGTTTTTAATAAATATATTTTAACTGATGATGACTATATAATCTATAGTTGAAAAAAGTCTTGATTAATAAAATGTTTTTAAAAATAATTAAAAAAGTTTTATTTTTGTAAAAAAAAAAAAAAAAAAAAATATATATATATATATATATATATATATATATATATATATATATATATATATATATAAAATGTGCTAGTGTATTCTAATAAATTAGTAAAAATACTTACCTAAAATTTTTCAACAAGTTGTTTCACCATTAGTAGGTTCATCAGAGAGGTTCTGATGAATCTACTAATGGTGAAACAACTTGCTGAAGTTTTTTTTTTTAACATGTTTGTTTCCAACAAGGCTGCAAGCAACCACTATTAGAGTTATTGGAAGAGAAAAGATGAAGATTGTAGAAAAAGATAATGATTGATAGATGACTTGAAATATTGCATATTATATGAATCAGGAAAGCAAGATAAAGGAAGGGAATTCCAAAGAAATGATGTTCGAGGAAAAAAACTAGAGAAATAAGAGTTTTTGGAGCACTTAGGAACAGTCACAGAAAAAGGATGAGATTTAATTGAATCACGAGTAACATGAGAATGAATTTTAGTAGATGGCACAAGAGAAGCTAGCTATTTAGAGCATGCGTCCCATTATAGTATTTGTAGAAAAAAGAAAGAGAAGCAACATTACAACAAGCTTTGACGTTAGGACAAAACCTTTTTACAATAATTTCTAGCAGTAATAAACAGACATCTGTTACCTGAAAAATTGTTTTGCTGATAGATATGGAAGTAACAGTTTCGATTGGAAATTGCAGCAGCACAATGTGAGGAAAACCATGGAGAAGAGTGAGGCTTGACCTGGATACATCGAGATAGAATAAAAGATTCTATGCCAGCCTGAATCCACGAAGTTATGTAAGAAGCACATTTGTCAGCATTTGCCTTCCATTTTCCAAAATAAAATAAATAGTTTATAATAAATAGTTCTATTTATATTAAAATAAATAGTATATATAAACACTTTATCTTCTTCTACTAAAGTTTCATATAAACTTATTTCTAAATAAAAAACAATTAATATGAAGCCATTACATAGATTTAAAACTTGAAATTTACATATTTGATGTTTTAAAATTTAAAAAGAAAATGAAGTAACTGAACAAGTATTGATATGAGTTATCAGAAACACAATATTTTATGCAATAACAATTTGAGATCTTCTAAAAAGATTTTTCATATTATCGATAAAGCTACACCTGCTATTTAAGGTATGTGTTGCATAGAAATAAAAATAATGTACAGTTATCAATTCACTTTTTATGATTTTTTGTATTTACCTGAAAAGAAGTCACGGTCACTAAAACACATTTTCATCTCAATATCGACACCAATCCATCACACTATTATACTTTGTAAGATAAATAAAGCGCGCTTATTTATATTATTTATATAGTATTATAATACTATTTTAATAAAAACCTATATGGTTTAGGAACGCAACTTCCAACGGGTATGGATATCTTGCAACACTTTAAATATTATCAATCAAATTTGTCGAATGGGATTAAAAAAAAGTTGGATATTCTATATTGTCCTCCAAAGTCAAACTTAAAGGTTGATAGGTGTCAACTAGTTGAATGTGAATATATCATGGCGAAAATAAAATATCCATGGATTAAAGCAGGGTTTCCAGTTATTAGCGACATAAATATTCAAAAAAGTTTAAAAAATCTTGAGCAAAAATTCTCTAATTTATTAAGAATGTCAAAAGAAACTCAAAACAAGATTAAAAACAACAATTAAAAATTAAATAGGATTTAAAAATTTTGTTAAACATATTTTGAATAGGAATTCCAGAACTAATAGATTTTATTCAAAGTGACAAACTATCATCCAATGAATCTAAAATCAAAGATTTTTTAATTCTTAGAAGATCAAGAAGGTCCATGATTATATCATTTGGGTCCTAATTAATGTATACAAAAACGTTTCAAATATTAAAAAAAAGTCTTTTTTTTTTAATATTTGACTTTTTGATGAAAATTTGTTCTTTGAAGACAGTTCCACCATTGTATAGTAAAACATTCAAAGTCAGACCTTTCCGTACACGTTGAATAGAGAGCTGAAATATTGTCTGTAAACTTAAAGGTTCTAGGTCAGTGAATTAGAAGGTTTTTGTTGTTAACAAAAAATACAAATTAAAACACGTTATTTTAAAATGTCAAATAAACCCAAATTGGGAATTTAGGGGCAAGGTATATAGTTGTAATAAGTTATTGACATGTTTCATAGGTTTCATACTTTCAGTACGAAATATAAGTATGTTGAAATCTTACCTTACTTTTTAGAAAGGTTAAAAATGAGACTATGCGGATAAGGAGTATCGTTAAAGAAGCTAGAGTGAAAGGTAAAGAGTACATTGACTACAAAGGAAGAACTGTACCTGCTACTACTGTTGGAACTGATTGCAGGTGAGATTTGTATTGCAATTTTGATACCCAATTGGCCCTTCAAAATTTTGTATAGGTCTATCATAGCATATCATCCAACATGTTTTCATAAAAGCATCTTAGACAAAACTAATCCAACACGTGCATATCGTTCCATTTAGGCTAGTGAATTGACCTTAAACAGTAGCCAAATGTTATAGCCGAATTACTCAAATATAATTTTTTAGCTTGGCTATGGCATATAGACCTACCTCGAACATTTATATCAGCATAATCTAATGAGATATTTTGCTTTTAGATGCTCGAAGAAATGTACGGAACGTCTAAAAAACCAGAGATCGTTACAGACAAAAAACAAGCAAGATGTGTTTCTACAAAAAAGGGAAAAAATTAGGAATGAATACAATCAGTGGCAATGTAAGACTTCTGATAAGAGAACATATCGAAAGTTATCCAGTGAAACAGAGCAAATATGCTGGTAAAACTATCAATTATCTAGATGCTAGACTAAATGTCAAAATTTTGAACTCAATGTTTAAAGAAAAACATCCTGAAGCAAAATGTAGCTACAAATTTTTTCTAGGCTACTTTAACGACAACTTTATGCTAAGATTTGGCCGTCCCCAGATAGACTCTTGTTGCATGATGAGCTTAATTTAAAATTACGAAGCCCTCATCAAACTCCAAAATGAAAGCAATGAATTGGAAACAAAACAAAATGAACTGCATGTCTTAGCAATGGCATTTGACTACATGCAGAATATCCCTTTACCAATGATACCAGTCTAGAAAACCTTTTACCTCAGACAGCTATCTGTTAACCTCTCCTCTATTCACGATGTGAAATGCAATGAAGGTCATGTTTACGTGTACCATGAAGGCACAGCCAGAAAAAGCCCTGATGAGGTGTGCTCTTTTGTGTACAATTACCTAATGTCTGCTCCTCCACAGTTTACTGAAGTCCATGTCAACTCAGATAACTGTGGAGGCCAAAATAAATACCATGCACTAAACAGAGTCTTTTTGGCTCTCACAGATACTGGCCGATTTGATTGAATCAAGCAGTACTACCGTAATAAAGAGAAAACTGAAAAGGTATAACAGGGTGTACACTGTTCACCAGATAACTGAACTTATCATCACTTCTAGTACTACTGGTAAATTTACTGTTGAAAAAGTCGCAACAGAAGATATTGTAAATTTTCAAAAGTGGTGGCCAACATTCTACAAAAAATCTTGTATTTTGGAAGAAACACAGGGAAAAAAAGTTCCTGCTAAGGATAGGATAAGTTTTGGAATAAGTTCTCTAATGCACTTCACTTACGGGACTTCTCCAGGTGTATATGTCTGTAGGCCTCTCATTGATGGGATTTGGACACATTTTGCAGAAACTCAACAATGCCTCGCATTGTTGAGTTTCTGCAAAATGTGTTACTGATTGGGTAATAATCCGATAAAAAAGTGAAACTACAGGATATTAGGAAGCAATTGCAATATGTTCTGGATGAGTTCAGTGGTTTTTATGATGAACTCATGAGCTGGCCAACAACTGACAAGGGGAATGACAGGGAGGAACACAATATCCAGTGAGGTGTCTGAAAAAGGCTTTGTGATCGGTCCTTTTATACATTGGGTGATTTAATATGTATAATAGTTTTTTGTACAAAAAATGAATAAATATATAAAAGACAAGCTTTTTGTTATTATCCTTAACACATGTAAACAAAAAGGTTCTAGGTCAGACAACTTTAACTATGTACAACACATATATGTATCACAAATTTTAATATATATTTAACAAATCTAATATGTAAAGATGTCAAATAACAGCCAGATTTTTTTTTTTTGAATTTATTAAAATAATAATTTTGGATTTAATACGTTTTTTCTTGTTTCCGAAAAAATAGTTTTTGTGACTTTTTTTGTATACATCAATTCAAGTATACTAAGAAAGTAATTTGATTATGTTTTGGTTGTGAGAATTTGGGTAGTATAAGTTTTATCTTTTTAAATGTTTTAAATGGCAGTGTTGCGTCAGATTTTAATTAAATGATGCTCTCAAGGTAGATGAACTATTGAGTTACTTAACTATATGGAGTGAAGCATTAGTATATAAAATATTGATTGTTGATTCTCATCCACACATTTAGTTTTTAAATAATATACTTTTTATAGTTTGATATATTTATTAAATATGCTCTAACTTTGTCACTTTAACAACTTGTAACTAATAAACTTATTTTTATATAAAATCATTAAATCTAAAGAAGTACAAAAATGCAGTATTAAAAAAGAGAAAAATGGATCCCCGAGTAAAATCTTACAAAAACTACAATAATGATGAACTAAGTTCAGATAACATTTCTGATTCTGACTTTGAGCTAAGCGAATGGATAAAAAGAAAAAAGAAACAAAGCAGTACAAAAATTCAGGCCAACATCCCTAAAGATATTTATTCCAGAAATGTTATTTTAATGGCAACTGTTAATAACATCTCTCCTATGGTTCTGCAGAGAATTACAACGACGGTTGTTCAAGCTGCAGGAGTAGACATGAACGCCATCAAATCAAGTCTCTCAACTGCAGCTAGAAGAATGAAATAATGTATAATTCATTTTGATAGAAAAACTATATTTGAGACAATTAAAGGAAAGAAACTAAAATGCAAGCAACTAGCTGTACTATTAAATAATAATGGCAAATCAAACTTGTTGGGTGTCCCTTTTTTACCATCCTCTTCAGGAGATGATCAATATAAAGAAATAATGCAGATGCTAGATGAATATGGTATTAAATCAAATGTTTTGCTTTGACACAACAGCAACAAATAATGGCATTAAGAATTACCTATGATTTATGTATATACATTTTCCAGCTTGCTTGCTGACACCATGCTACAGAGCTTAGAATAAGTCATTTTCCGAAACATGTTACTTATGAAGAAAAGGTAGGACCAGAAAATCTTTTTTTAAAAGATTAAGAAATAAGTTTGACAATCCAGAGTTTTATTACTTTTTTTCTGAAACATATTAAAGTTTGATTGGTCATTAAAGGCTGGTACTGTAGTCGAAAAAGCAGCAAGAGATGCACTCAAATAATGCAAAAAATACATTAAAAAAAAAAATATTGCTAGGGAAGACAGAAAAGAACTAGCAGAGCTTGTAATTATCGAAACTGTTCATTTCTCGAAATCAGGAATTGTGAAAAGAAAAAAACCAGGTGCAGTTCAACATGCAAGATATACAAGCTCTTTTTTATACAAAGTTTTATCTGCTATCTAAACAACTAGATTTTATAAAAGAGGAAGACGTAAATACTCAAGTAGAACAAATTGTGGAGTTTATTTGTTGTTTTTATGTTCCATGGTACTTGCAAAGCCACAATCCTATTAAAGACTCATACCTTGATATTATAGCTCTACATCAAATGTCTTTATATAAAGATGTTTGCCAAGTAAAAAAAGCTGTAAATAAAGTAATTGACTCAATATTAAAACATTCTAGGTACTTAGACTCAAGTTTGATACCTCTTTTGCTTCTATATTATAAAGTTCTTGATAAAGTTAAAACACTAATCGCCAAATCAATTTTATCTTACAAAATGCCATCTTTAAAGGCATCTGATTACAAAATTGAAAATAAGCCGAAAGTGAATATAGAGATAATCAACCTAGATAGCACAACAGCTAGTAATCCACCAAATTTGGCAATGTTATTTAACAAGTTTTCCTACTTTATTTTTGCAGTAAATGGGTTTACAGAAGAGAGAATAGGTGATTGGTTGTCACTTCCACCATCTTTCTGTCACACTCAATCATAATACAATTGATTTTATTTAGTTTTTAGCCTATGCAAAGATCATGCAGAAAGAAATGTAGGCATGATGCAGGAGTTTATCCATAGATACATTAGTGAAAAAGAAAAAAAATGAGACTGGTAACCATAGACGAAGTTTGTTATGCCATGAAAAAACCTGAAAAAAGCTCCAGCAAAATGACAAAAAGGAATACAGAAATAGGTTTAAATAACATTAATTTCAAGAAATTCAAAAGTGATTAGAAAACTTTTTTTTTTCTTTTGTAGGACTTTTTGTAAGGTAAATAGAAAACCTAGTTTTTATCATAATTGGCGCGAGTAACTTGAAAATTGGTTTTGGTATATGAACTTGAATCAATTTTTAATTAGTAAAAAAATGAAGAGGGACCCGGGGTTAGGTAAGGGTGAGGGGAGAGGTAAGGCAAATACATTACTAATTGAAGTAACAAGCAATTAACAATATTATCAACCAAAAAATATTTTTATTACACATGGCCATCGACACCGGGTAAGGAGGAGGAGGTGAGGAAGGGAGCATGCCCCCCCCCTTTTTTTTTTTCGAGGAGCTTTTTTTATATATATATAATTGAAAAATGCCCCTTCTTTCACTTTGAAGGCCGCTTCAATGGTCCTGTTTTATTAGAAAAAATGTATTTGTATACTCCAAATGCTTTCTTAGTATCACAACAAACTCATTTATGAATTTATGAAATTATGGATAATTTGAATAATAAATGCTCGGTAATAAAACCAAATTGAATTTTGAGTGGGTGTCCACTCAAAATTCAAAAAAAATTCCAGCACTTATTACTTTATTTAGATATGTTTTTCCAGGATTTTGGTCCTGAAACGTATTCCTTTTTCCAGCATCAGTATTAAAAAAGCAATTTCAACACTAATGATATTTGTGAAGTGATATAAAAATTGCCTTTAAGACAACCACTGTAATTATAAACATAAAAGTATGTAATTTAAAACTAAATACTAAAGATAATATAACAATAAAAATAAAATAAAACGGTAATTTGTTAATAAAAACTAACTTAACAATTTTTTTTTCTTAATTTCAAGTTATTCAATTTGTTTTTCTATAAACTCAACCTCTTGTTTAGTTTCAAAACTTTTTCTTTTTAATCCATTCCTTTTCTTAACCTAACTCAGGTCACTTTTTTTCTCTGTAAATTTCATACACTCTGTAATCTCGTTTTCCATTATTAAAATAACTTTTTTTGCAACCTTAACCTTTTGACTTAATTTTTCAATATCGACTGTGATATGCATTGGTTTTTGTTTTGCTCTGTTTTTTTTTTTCCCTTTTTTAGCATTGTCCAACTCAATCATATATTTTTGATGGGCTCATTGAAAAGGTTTGATTTGGACTGTATACAGTTTTAAATCATTTGCAATTAGATGGTCATTTACAATTCTCTGGGAAAAAATACTTGAAGGTGTCATGTTTGTTTTAACAGAAGAGTTGTTTATGCTAATACCATGCTCAGCAGCAGCCTGGCCATGACTAAGTGTTAAAATTAATTTAATGACAATTGACAAGTGTTAAAATTAACTTAATGACAAATGACTAATGTTAAATTTAATTTAATGACAATAGATAATTCAATCTAATTGCAGACACAAGCACGTTGAAAACAAAAATCATCAAATCGATCCTTTGGATGAGAAAACTTAAAAGATTTTTGCTTTATAGCTTTGACTTCATTATCCATAAAATCTTTTAACTGACATAACACTAAGTCATATTGCTGTGATGATAAAATCTTTAAACTCATGAAGTACCCAAGTAAAGTTTTCAAACGATCAATTAATTTGTTTTATCAACTCTATCAAGACATTAGGGTCAAAAATACTGGATGCTATTATCAATGAATATTTTAATGGAGATTTGTTACAAAAGCTTTTCACCATTGAAACAACAAATTTCTTAGCCACCTTAAAGAACTCTTTGCTTTGAGACAACGTTATCAAATCTTTTTCAGATAATATAGTTCTTCAGAAACAAAAAATCCTGCATTAGGCTTTTCATCATCTTTCTTCATCATCATCCTTCATTAGGCTTTTCATCATCTTTCTTCATCATCATCCTTCATTAGGCTTTTCATCATCTTTCTTCATCATCATCCTTCATTAGGCTTTTCATCAGGAAACAGATTATTAGTCAAAGAAAGATCCAGATCTTTCAATGTTTTCCAGCTTCTGCATTTTTCAAGGACATCTTGTTTTGCAATAACTTTAAGCAACTTTATGATTATTTCCTTTACATCAAATGATAAAAATGGCACAGTAACAGTCAGTAACAGTAACAGCCAGTAACAGAGTTATAGTCTTCTCTCCTTGCAGGACTATCATCTAAAATATAATAGGCAGCATTTAAAACTTTTTTCAGATTCTATTCTGTAACAGCCTCTCCAGTTTTTAAACTGCCATGAGCAATATGCAAACTGCAAGTTCTGATGTTAATAAGAAAATGTAGAATAGTTTCAATCAAACTTGTACTGAATTCATCTAAAAATTTAAAAACAAATTTAGATTTACATTGGGACCATCAATTGATATTTGGTATAGCTTTTTTATATCCAAACTTTTAACAATATTCTTAAAATGAGTTAATAAGTCTTGGAGAATTATATGACCTAAGAAACTTGATCCAAAATAACAGACATTTACATGATTTCTATTAACATCCCAGAATCTAATATAAACATCCATTTCAGAAGTTTGAGTGACCTCATTTAAACTCTCATCAAAAAAATAGACATAGATGTCTGACAGTTTTAAAAATTTAGCAAAACCGATTTAAAATAAATTGCTAAATCATGATTTAACTGGTAAGAAGTTTTGCTTCAACCAATCTGAAATTGT